TTCATCCAGGAAATAGGGCCGTGTATAGCTTTCAATGCTGTTTGCAAACGTCATGCACACCATCATAAGCTTTGTGAGGACTCGCAAGAGGTCCGGGTCCGTCAACAAGCACTCTTTCAGGCAAATATCAAGAAACTCGCCCTGAAATTCCAATATATCGTCCACGGTCGCTGCACTAACTAATTTTTGCTGAAAATCATGCCATCGCGGCGAAATGACCTCAAACATCATGTAATATACAAAATTCTGCTGGAAATGCAACATACGCTGTCGAAGGCAAAACGACGGACCAAGCGCTGCACGCAAAGACAATTCTTTTGTTGCCTGGTGATTTAACCATGCATCACACAATTGGCGTTCCACGTGCTTGCAGAAAAAAATGTGTCGAAAGATCATTTGGTACTTGGTCAAGGCACCACACGATATCACAAGTGATAGAGGCCATTTTACATTGTAGTCGAGTGTAAACGCGTCGATAACCTTATATCCAGGGTGACCAATGGACGTTGATTCAAAAGTTGTCAATGAATCTCGGGGTCCTTTCTGAGCGCGTTGATGGATTGCTTCCATATGAGAGATGAGGTTATGGGGTGCTAAGAAACACTGTAGGTCGTCTTTGTACGGATCAGACGAGCAAGTGGAGGTTTGAAGCGACAGGTGAAGCAATGATTCCAAGCGAGGCAACGACAGTGTGTCAGCACGAAGCTTAAGTTCGACTTCGGCGACATTCATGAAGTCCACAAAGAAGTCTCCTTGATCCATCAGAAAGTAGTGTTTTAGTGAGATCAGACGATTTTGCAAATCGTTTTCGCGCAGAAAGAGATCTAGTAGTACCCGACTCGCAAAACCATGCGCTTTGTCAATAAGTTCCTCGTATACCGACTCACTGGACGCGAAGACAATCTCGCTTGCAAATGGGCAATCCATCTGACGACTGCATGTGCGAAAAACGTTTAAATACTTTCCCGCTGTCAAGATTTTCTGTGCGACTCGAGAAAGAAAAAGCGGTACTTGAGATGTTCGAATGGTGTAGCGACTCTGCCAGTAGGTTGAGTACGGATTATCTTGTACGTCTTCTTTGCTCACTTGGTCATCTCGTCGAATCATAAACTCGTCGTACGGATCAACAAGATCACCGTGGTATATCCATCGTTCCACCATTTTAAGATATGGCACACTGGCGCGCTCCAACAGAAACGAAAACACCTTGCGTGCATTAGAGTCACCTGCCAAAGAAGACATAATGCGCTGAATCTCAGAAAGCAATGATCCACCACCGATCGTTGTGCGGCAATTGTCCACGAGTAAGCTTAGCATCTCCATTGTTCTTAAACTTGGTTGCACGTTGTACCACAGCTTCTGAATAGTGAGATGATCATCTGCATTTCTCGACTGGTGTTCCAGCTGTCCAATCATAATTTTATATTCCTTTATCAGCATTTTCAATGCTGCACAAAAAGCATGGCTCACTTGGCCATATTCATATCGAGAGAACTCCTCAATGTAGACAATAGATTTCAAGTAGAACTCGCCCAAAGGTAGACATCGTGATGATAAGGTCAAGAGGGATGGATCCATACCAGGTTGACTAAGGCCAAATTTAAACGATCTGACTGTCTGATTAGTCTTGACAGCTCTAGTCTCGGTGACAGCCAATTGAATGTAACGGCCTTCCACTCCTAAGAGAACATACAACAAGTCATCCAGAATGATTGTTTCTTGAACTGAAGGAGGATACGTAGACAATGGCGGCACATTACAGTCACTATTATTATCAGCTGCGGGATATCGCGTGGCTTGCTGCAAAAACATCTCGCCGGTAAGATACGGACGATCTCGATTCCAATCCGGATCGTAGGGCAAATTTGACTTTGTGATCTTCCAAACTTGCGTAATATTATTCATGTCATTATTCTCTTTGCACAATAGAACTGACGGAGCTTTAGCGTCCAATGAGTTTTCATCATACCCGTCGAAATGTACGGATAGGTAGAGATCCGCCGTATTCATCTTAATCATCACACTATCACTTGTGAATATCGATTTTTGGTTTCCCCACAACCTGCTAGTGGCATTCATAGACGCTAAATGGTCCTCATGACCTTCTTTAATAGGATTCACAAGTCTCCATTTTTCGTTGTTGGAGATTACTGGCCCTTTCTTCATCAATAATGTTTGAGTTGTAGGATCAACCGATAAAAAATGTCCTTTACAGCTTCCAATAGTGCAATATATTGAGACGACATCTGAAAAGTGAACCTCTCCACAGTCTGAACGTAGGGTAGTATTTTGCAGCACAAATACTTGATCGTCGTCTCCATCCAACCCATCGCCGCTGACGTCGATCTGAACAGTAGATGTCGAAGGTCTTACAGTGCGTGCAATTCCAGCCAATCCACCTGTTGCCTGGCCTTGTCCCGTCGGTCTCGGTGGTAAGTGCGACAATTTTTGAGTCTGATGCTTCTCATTTTTGACCGCCGAAATCCTAATGCACTGGCGACTGCTCAGTCGAAGTCTGATGGGCGAGTTGTATAGGATTTCAGCTCCACAGCTCGAGGGTTCTTTTGGTTCTTCGCCTCGGTCTTTGTAAAAATTCCAGGGTGATGTTACCGAATTTGGCAACGTGCTGTTGTTCGACTCCACAAACACGGACTGGGCTGCCACATTAACGTCTTCGAATTGAGACGATGCAACAGGCGAAGGACCTTCAGATTGAGAGCCCAGCAGACTATCGACTCGACTTAACATGGCTCGATGCGGCGACATTTGGTTGCTTGAGGTCAAGCGCTGCATCTGTTGGTCAAAGCGCCGGGAACTGCTGGGCACTAGCTCAGAGCTACTGCTCGCGCTATAAAAGGAAGAAGAGTGCGGCGTGCTGCGTGCGCTATTGTTGCTAGTGGGTGTCGTGTTGCTTGTGTTGGCCGCACTAGTGTTAAGACCCGATAAATTCACCGTCGGTTTGATCAACGCCTGCCGTTGCTTTTCCATTTCCAAACGCGTTTTAGGTGACAACGGGTCCCCGTCCTTAATAGCTGAGAAATCAGTAGGCAGCGATGAGGAGCGAGATGAAAATCCACCGATACGCAATTCATTGAAGTTTGGAGCGTGACTACCCGCGCGCAAAGAACCAGATGCCGCATGACTGCGGGTTTCGCCAGGAGGCGGAGGCGGAGGCGGCAAAGGCTCCATTTTAGTGTGTAATTAAGAAAATTAGTCTCGATTTGTGAGCCTAATAAGCTCGAATATTAAGTCTTTTAGCAGTAAAGGTAAACGAGAACTGCTACGTGGCGGTGGAACTCATGCGGGTACGTGGCCTAATTTGATGTCGTTACGTGGGCTTGGCTTTCTCCGCGATGTTATTCTCAACACTTGATGGTGTTTACTTTCGGTGCTGAGAAGCTTCCGGTCTCCATAGGTCTAATTTTTGGCATGATCTTCTTGTGGTTTGTCGGTGCTGTTTTCACGCCTGAAGAAGAAAATGACGGCATCCTGGCTCTGTCTGTTGCCGAGTAGGTACACTGCATCTAATGCTGCATTGGATGAGCTTATTAGGTTTTGTGTACTACGGTTGCAGTGTCATCCTACTTCACATTCGGCCTTGGGTGTATGTTACAGCGGGCTTTTACCACCCGTATTTAGTGCAGCTGGTTTTCGTGCTACCTTTAGCCTTCGGTTTAGCCAAGCGTGTGGAGCCAGATCTTGGTGCTGTAAATCTTATGCGATTGTTGCTGTTCGCCAACACGGCGACGGCAGTCGTGACATTCGTAAGCCTCTTCGTACTATACATCATTTTCCGGAATCCTTCCTACTTGTATGATCTACTATGTTTATGATTTGGTTCCAATATATAATGGTTTGATTGCTGTAGGGAAATGAGTTTTTCGGGATTTACAGGCGGGATTACGGCCCTGCTGGTTGCCTACATGAAGCCCTATCCATTCGCGACGGCGCCCTCGTTCCCAGGCATTTCGCTCCGCGTATATCTTTGCTTTTTTCTGCATCACTGTGTTGTGTTTTAATTATTGCTGTTTGTCTCTCAGTTTTACCCACTCGTAGTATGTCTTAGCTTTTGCTTCTGCACGATGGTTGGTTTGGCCTTTGCGGCAAACCCTTCGGTAAGGTCAATGCTGACAAGCGCTGGACCCTTTTCGTGCATGGGAGGCTACTTCGGATGGTATTATCTCCGCTTTTTGAACAAGAACCGTGATCGTACTATTGGCGATGTATCGGACGAGTTTGCACTAGTCGTTCTGTTTCCTGACTTTTGCGCGTACGTGTTCATTTACTTGTAGTTGAATGGTAGTACACATAAAAGTAAGATTTTTGTTGTCCAGACCACTAATTGGACCAGTCGCGGGTTTCTGCTTCAGTGTGGCCAAACTTTGTGGATTTTTTAAGAAGCGCGCAATGCAGAAGCCTAAAATGTTACCAATCCTTACGGTACGATACAAGTCAACACGTTGTCAAAAGCGCTTGAATTTAATATGGTAGTTTGTTAATTTGTTCAGGAGATTAAAAATGACCCAATTGCTGAACGCCGGAAGTAAGTGCTTGATTAAAAAAGACGTGAGGCTAAGAACCCACGTGTACAACGGACCTGATTAATTATACACTGAATATGGCGGTTGCATAGGGCTCGTGCGATGAAAGCACTGGATGAAAAGCTAGCGAAACTTGCACACGCTCGCGCTGATCATGGAACATCGCCTTTGTTGTCTGTGAAAGTTCGCGATGAAAAGGATTAAGCCATAGGCTTGTCATCTTATCACATAATGAAAGGAATTTCAATAGGGATGAAAGATTCTTACCCGAGTGTAAATCATACAAAGAGCCTTGTTCAAACCCAATGTTTTGCAATCCAGGGTGCAGTAGCTTCGTGCGGTTTAGGAACCAGTGGAAAGCACACGATCGTTGCATTTGGGGGAGGTATTGGAGCTTTCTTGTCGAGACTACAGTATTCAACTATTTGGTCAGGAAATGTATTTTGTAAAAAGCATGTACCCGCGCTGGCCATTTCAAGCCAATGGTCGAATTTATATATATATTTGCTGATGGCAATATAGTGTGCGTGCAAAAAGTCGTGGAGTACAAGAAGCGGCGCATCATGCTCGTCATTGTCGATACGCCAAGCCATTATACTGCTGTTATACCCTCCACATCGCTGTTCGTTAACCATATGATCTGTCTTTAGTAGACCTAGAACACCCGGCGGAGGTGACCACGACAGCAAATCAGCTAAGTTGCCAACGATAACAATATCGAGATCCAGATAAAGGCATCGCGAGTGACCAAGCGCACGAAGTTTTGACATAATTGTATCGGAAAATAGTTGACACTTGTTCCACCATCCTTTCCAGCCGCTATATAACTGCATAGTGATCAAGTTATCATGTTGGTCAATGCCGTCGATATTATCAGTCAGACAAACCAAATTCAACCGTAGTCCACCGCAGTGACGCATGACCGAATTGTATAGCTTGTTCACGTATTCTGCCCCATACTTGGTACCCCATTTCACACAAAGAACTACGAATCCATTATTTTCACACACTGAATTGTACATTAAGTGCCCACCATTATCGACCCCAAATGTGTCTGCACGTAGCTCTCCATCACCATAGAGCAGCTCAGCCTTAGCAGGCAATACCTTTTTGACAACATCTGCTCCAATTTCCTGAATTAAATAATTCCAATAAACACGAACAGCTTCACTTTGACGACCCATTCTTCGAAGCAGCACGTTTCGATTGTAGTGCGCTTCTGCAAGATTAGGATTCAGCGCGAGCGCTTGCATGCAAAGTCCAAGTGCCTCTTCCAGACGATTTGCGTCTGTGATGGCGAGCTGCGCCGCCAAATTAACTTGTGCCTCGACGCATCCGGGGTTTGTCTGCATAATCGTTTCGTATAGTTCGACAGCTCTTGAGTGATAGCCGCGCTTACATTCAATCGCCGCGAGCTCAAACTGCCATCGGACTCGCCACTCAAGCCATTGCGTCTCGTCCTCCGGATTTTCGTTCGCCGCCGTAGCCTCTTCCAGTCCACTTAAAGCCCGTCGGAAGTGGGCCACAGCCCTTTCGTACTTTTTCGAAGCCGCCAGCAGCGCTGCCAGACGCGCGTGCCAGCGCGCATTGACGGCGGAGGCACGGGTCGTGATTCGGCTGCCCACCATGGGTACACTTTTGATTAGAGTATTTGAAATCTATACACTAAATTACTTGATGCATGTTTAAAGTCGTCTGACCAGATTGTACGCTCAGAAATTCATAGAAACAAATTGTCAGACTTTGACGCCTTCACATTCAAGGCAGCGCCCCATTTGAAGTACGGCAACGGAACGGCCCCGTTCGTAAAAGTGCTTTATAATGTAACAAGGTATGTACTGTACTTTGTACAAGTGTGCAGACACAGTACAGTACTTGTTACTTGTGAATATACATAAGTACCGAAGTATCTGTATCTGTATAGGTGATTGGATTCTGTCAAGGAAGTGGTACATAGGGTGCTGGTCGCACGTCAAATGACAAACAGAAATTTTTCGTGAGAAGGAGCTAAGTATATTTAAATAGAATTAGTTTTTGACCCAAGAAAATTACTTTAATGGCTCTTGCTTCTCCTCCTGGCTGAAGCTTACGAATTCAACCTTTGTGCATTTCTTATTGCAAACTAAGCTTCCAATGTACAAAGTACAAGGCAACCCTATAGCACTTGGTAGCACTTGGTAGCACTTGGTAGCCCTTGTACGATTGAGTCATGAGAGGGCTGTATCCTTTGCGGGATGGAATACGAGACGTTTGAGTACCTGCTTCCGGGAAAGACAGACATGCTTAGTAAGCTTTGTCGATTGTTGGTTTCGACAAAATTAAAGTGCTGGTGTTTCTAAGGTCAAATGTGATAATCGCTCGCGTCAAAGCGTTCACCAGCTAAGAGATTGCGCTTGTGAGACAACTCCAGAAGAGCCCCAACACAAATCGTTGGTAATAAAGTGTGATCTACCTTGAGTTCACTGCACTGGTATTTGAAGTATAGTCCGTGACTTTCTGGACGGAAGAAATCTCACACTTTGAAAGAAGGGGCTGAGATGACTGCAAAATTGTATTAAGTGAAGCAATAGAGTTTCAATCTCCAGGCTAGGAAGACGCGCACCACCTCTGTTTAAGTGACATTCCAACATCAGCAAGTCAAAGCGATGTATACCGCGGGTGTTCGCAGTCGAATCGTGTGTATTTCAAGTTTTGATCTACCTGACGAAGGAAGAAAATACTTTCTCCTGGAATTGCCGGAATCGTACCGTAGCAAGGGCGTCATAATCTCCTACAAAGGCAGTAACCGTTACTCACGTTATGGAGGGTTCCAATCAGGTGCTATTCGCACTGATATCTTTTGTGTCCACCCAACCTCATTTAAGGAAGCGATGAATATCACCTGAAATACAAAGAACAATTTTCGTGCCGCGAGAGCTGGGGAGGAAGCTCACTAAACACACTCGAGGCGATGGAGTCCAGCCACACCTTTGCTCAAAGAATATGAGTATCGAAGATTATGTCGAACACCAAAAAGGTTTGTGGACTTTACAGCATCACACCTTGTCTCGTAGCAGTCGTGTAATTGAGGTATTTTCTCTAATTAAGGTACAGCTTGACTTTGCGTCATGAGCAATACATCAACCGAAGATCGAAAAAGTGGGGTATCGCGCAATTTTGACCTAGTGAAGCTTAGGCAAGTCATGGTATTATATCTGCTATAAAGCAGAAGCGCGTTTGCCGCAGGTATGAAGCTATGAAAGTTTTCGTGCAGGACACAGGGCTGCCTGACATTGATAGCAATGGTGTGGCTAGGTGTTTTGATCAAAGCTCAGAAGGATAGCTGGTCGCGGTCTCAGGATGGGCCAAAGAAGCGGTCATATATCGAGTGTTCAAATATTGTGATGGGAAGAAGCGTTAATACAGTCTCCAGAGTGTATATATGGTAAATGGTAAAAATAGCGGTAAGCTGTTAGTTCCTGTACAGAGACCGGTGGAGAAAGGAAGCGACCAATTTTCGCAGTCTTCTGTGTTAGAGCTGGTAAGATCGAAGGCGACCACAAGTCGCGGGTAAAAGCCAGGCCTGAAGTTAAGAAAATGGCACATTATTGGGATGATGTAACAATACAACTGAGTCAGCACTACCGTGTGAAGTGTCCGCCGTTCAGAGCAATTTGTCTCCGTAGTAAAGTGGCGGGAACGATCATTCACGCATGACCAAAGTGACCGGGCCATCTTATGAAATGTAAATCTTTGTATCTACTATCGGCAGGAGCTCATTTAAAGCTACAAGAATTGTTTCTCGGGGTCATATGCAAGAAATTGTAGACGGCGAATTCACCAAATCGATATGGTTGGCGCCAGAGGGAAACTAAAAAACAACATCTGTCATGGCTAGATCTATCAACCCGGATACCCGCAGAACACCGAGTGCTTGAATCGGGTCTTTTCTCGATATTCCTACAGATAAGTTCTGTTTTTTAAGGCTTTTCACGGTGTGGTGACAAGAAATATACCACACGTGCTGCAGTTGGAAAAGTGAGGTAGTCATGGGACTGACTGCTATCCGAAACGAAAAATTCCGTTACACGGCGATGGCCCATATCGAAAGAGAGCGACATCTTTGACGCCTTTTGCCGAGCGAAGCACCAAGCGGATTTGGTGAGTGAAAATAATTGGTTATATCACAGGGACTGTCTAACGCACCGGCAACGTTCAACTGACTGGTGACACAGCTGCTTGGGTCATATCATAGCTATGCACAAACATATTTCAACGATAGATTTGCCCATGATCGTGCAAAGAAGAAATGGCGGATCTGAAGAATCACGTTAGACAATTGCGAGCGTTTCTTAAGTCTGTGTGTTTAAAGCTGCTATTCGCATAATGGTCAAGTGTGTTTTAGCGCGGACACAATCTCCTTTATGGGAATTTTGATTGGAAAGCAGGGCCTGGGGGGCGATCCCGAGACGACTTTTGTAGATTGGCCACTGCCTCTGTCCCGAAACAGACTTGGCCTGGCTAACTACGAACAGTAAACTATACAGACGTGGCAAAAGCACTCACTTATCGCTTGATATATGATGCGGCAAAGATACGGTCTTTATAAAAGAAGCTTCATATTTGTGCCCCGACGCAGACTGTTCCGACTTTGCTCGGGGAATGTTATATCGTCTGTGCCTCTTCAGACTTTGAAATTGGCTATATTTTAATCCAAACATATGCCATTGGGTAAGAGCGCGTGTTTGCGTTTAAGTCTCACCAGAGTAGCATTTCTCAAATGAACTTCACCGTTTACGACAAGTAGCTCTTTGTAATTATGCATACCTTTTCTAAGTTCAGAGTGTATTTGTTTGGCAATAAACTGTTTGTGGTCTATACAGGTCATATGTCGTTACTCACAGCGATATTGTCACCGAATTTCTCGCAGAGAATGGCAAGATGAATGTTTTTCTTTGCCGAGCATAAATTTAAGGGAAGGTATAAATCGGTTCGGCTTGGTGTGGTGGCGGACGCAGATTCGCATCTACCCGATAGTGACTTGTCACGTGCTACGATGGTGGTGCAATTAGCTTATAAGGCTATTTACGTTGCCAGATGCTTCATGCGTTGCCGAAAAGTTCGAAAAGCAAGAAGGTCTAAGTATGGATGTTTTTAGGATCCCCGGACTTGCTGCATTACAGCACTACATTCAGTGTAGTAGTGCCGCCCGCGAAGGACCTCAGGTACAAAATATTTTATATAGAACATGATATATCCACTTATAACAATAAACATATTGTTTTGATGAGCGCTATGCATTGAGGGTTCAGCATGTACAGTATGTAATCACCTGTGTGCATGTGTGAAACGTGTCAAGTAAAGCCCTCGCCGCAGGTACAGGTAAAGCCCTCGCCGCATATGTCGGCATCATTAGCCAGTCTGACTAATCCGACAGAGTGCTGTCAGTTCATAGTTATGAGCTTTATTCCAGGCTTCCAAAAGATGTGTCCGACAACACCGGCATTAAGGTCATTGGCGACAGTCTGAATACCATGACTTATCTAGCTGCTTGCAGCAACACTGTGACTGGTCGACATACTGACAGCTTCTTCTAAGTATTTTGTGAACATGAGACTTCAGCGATTTACAGCGAAGGTTTGTAAGACACTGTCTAAGAAGCTTGGCACCATATCAGAAATGTCAACCGCTGGTCATCCCACCGATAGATACCCAAATAGAAAGCGCGATCAGCGTAATGGAAAATATACTCGCACGGACAGATCGTTGTGCTACGGCGAGCTCCTCCCATTGTATGAAAGTGCGTCGCATAACGCAATAGATTTTCTGCTTTCCCTATATCAAAATCCGGTTTGATAACTCTCGAGTGCATCTTACACCTCCTCGAAGTAGCTATGGTCCCAATGAGAGAGGAACTTTTAATCAAAATCTATTTGCTGTATCAGCCGGCTATACTTCGTAGAAAAATTAGCGACTTTATCTCGAAAAGTTTAAGCGTCATGTGCTAGATGCGCAATGCTATGGCTGGAACCAGGACAAAAGAAACCAACACGCCGATGGCAGAGGTAGGTGAAATATATTGCGGATAGATGGATGTATTTAATACAGTGTAATAATCTGTCTGGGGTCTAATGGACAAAGTTGCAACAGCGCTGCATCGAACAGTCCACCGTCGTAGCAAAGATTTGAGTTATCTTAGCATTCTAAAGAGGAAGCTACGCTTTCAGTGTGTGATGTGGGCTTACTGAAGCTATAACACGACCTCGCCCTTACGAGTCAGTCGGGTGTGTAGAGCTATTTTGCAGACGGATCAGCGTATTGACAGTCTCCTGTAGCTGATCCATTCTCTCCATTTAAGCATCAACGCGTTCTTTGATCGATGACAATGTTTATCGAATTCATAATCTGGACCATCTTAGCCTCACACGCATGCTGCAATTCTCGGATAGAGTTGACTTGTGCAACAACTGAGAAAGCTCACGATAACCAGCGGCTCCGACGGCATTTCTCGATGAGCAAAAGTGGTCTGCTTTACCGTGGAGCATTCGGTCTGATGGGCACACTAGGGTTGTTACCAGTATCTGGTAACAAGGTGAAATTGAAGGATTACTCCTAGTCAGTAAAATCAGTTTGAAGGTCCACTATGAAAAGTTCGCTGTGATGCCAAGATTGCTTATGTCCTGGTACACTCTCGGCCTTTATATCCCTTGAAGAATATTTAGGGCCGCTGGTTGCAGGGCTTACACTTGTGGGAAGTAATCAACCCCGTGGTAACTATGAACCTTGGTCGTCAGCAACTACAGTTGTCTCAAGAAGACGAGCGGAGCTGTAAACAGCAGAAACTCAAGGCGGTGGATTCTTACCCCGACGCCTGTGTCGTGTCTTGTACTTCGCAAAGTCAAGCATGATATGCCACTTTGTAAGGAAGTCCGCTTCGCTGAGTTGGCTTGCAGAATCTTAGAACGGGTGAAGCGGTGTTTGGTTTTGTCCAGTGCGCAAACAGAGCTTGGTACTTCGCGGCACTTCCGCCAGCTTTCAATAGCCAAGGAACATCTTTCCAACCGTTGCTTTTCAAAACACAGACAGTACCCCATTGGAGTGGCTCTCTGTGGGCGATAAACTCGCTCCGCAAGCGATTTAATGTGCTGAATGCCCAAACACATAAGTGTGTGAGAGATTCACTCTAGCAAGATAGAATCGTGGTCATAGTGCAATGCATTTAGCATTAGTCGGCATGAATACTACGCTAGTGTATAACAAATTGGGCTTCTTCAGCTAGATTGTGAGCTCCATAGCAGGGGCCGTAACTTTAAAAAACAATACGGAATAAGTAATTGTACAGAGAGGAGACTATGCACGGCAAGTCATTTGCTCTCAGAAACGGCTAGGCCGATTATCGCCGTATAATGGTGGTTTGTTTGGTCAAGGCTTATATTATGCACAATTGCACAATGGGTGCAGGCAACAGTACAGTACGCATTCTGTTCCAGAAAATACTTGACCTTTGTGCTCTCTGTATTGCCAGCCTAATATCCCGATCCGGGATCTAAATCCAGTTTAGCATATCTCGACTTCCAGTAAATTCGCTTGAAGGTACCAGCCTTGGGAAAAAGATCATGTAGCGTGACTCCCTTGACCACTCTAATGTTGTATTAATATTGGTCATGGCTAATTAGTTAATCGCTTAAAATTTCGACATTCCTGACGTAGATGTGTGACGATCACTCCCACATCTTGCAATGTACTTTAACAATATCATTCTTTGACGGCCGACTATGCTGTGTCTTGCTCATCTAGTGATTTGTTTGGCTGCGTCTACAGCGCACGGCGATCCAATTTTCGCATTGTCGCTAAGAATGGAGCTTTTGTTGGCGACATCTTCGCGAGTTCGTCAATGTTGAATTCAGGTCAAGAGTGTATGTCACACAGTCCACAGCTTAACAAATAATTTGAGCGAAATTGCATGCAAAAACCTTTACGTCGGGTCATATCTGACACTGTATGATAAATTCTTGATATGCTTTAAGTTGCTTGAATTGTGGTCCCACTCATGTGACGCTCACCCTGATAAACATGCAGTGTTGTGTATTCACTCTCTTCATCGGTACGTAGGACATGAATCCTGCAGTTATTTCCTTTTCCAAACCACCAAGAAGCGTATGAACCTGTTAGCCGCCACATCATTGGTCTGGGCAAATAAAAACGACACAAATTGGACAAACTGCTCATGGGATTTGACACATCTCGATTTACAAGTCTGTCCGTAGCAGTAATTGATCCTTAAAAGGTTAGACAATCTATAGCTTCTTTCATATAAATCTGGAAGACCTTCTATATTCCATCGTGATTGCGTATTTTTGGCAGGCTTCTCTTGCACACACGCCAGGCATTCAACATGTCTTCTATTCGAGAAATTGTGGGCAGTTTTGTAAATTGCATTCTTACGAAGCAAGTCATGGCGTCTGCAAAACGCATAAGTATCATAGTGTCCATCCGGCTTTACGAGGTCGCCAGCCACCGCCATGGTAAATGTTTTATTACCATTCTGAACTTATTCAGCCAGAAAAAAACGTTAGTCACCACATTGATAGCTAGCACATTTTCTTTGTGTAAAACTAAAACCAGAATCTTTATAATACCCCAAATCTCATTTTGATCGGAGGACGTTCCGTATTGCGAAGTATGAGCTGTTATCGTTGACCCAAAAAGTCAGAGATGCTCCATCTTGTTGCACTTGGTTGGGCAGCAGTAGTGAGAGAAGTTAGCGCAGTGGGTGAGAAATACAAGTCTTCGCCCATCTTTAAGCCTTACAAGCTAGCTTCGGGAACGTGTGCGTCGCAATTATCATCGACTCACGCGTAGCTTTGCAATGCCCAGAGCACGAAGAGGACGCCGAGGTGACAACCAGTCGCATCAACCTTCTGCTGTTTATTACCCTGCTTATCTTCATAAGATAGTTGTGATAGCCTTCTATTCAGGGCCTTTTTCACCACAAGGTCGGTTGCCCCAACTAGAAAGAAGCGTGCCACGACGGGCGACCCTGTCTCTCCTCCAATAGAGATAAAGATCGAGCGTGCGCAGGATCGTAATGCGCCACGCCACCAGCGCAATGTTGCCAAAATAAATTTCAAACTGCCACGAGTTTTGAGACTAAGGTCAACCTCTCCACTTCACCGGGTACTAATAACATTCCTAGTATACTTGCCGGTTCATTAAAGGTTCCACGTGAGAGTGACTCGCCTTGTGCTTATCGAGCATCCCACCGTATGTCGTTTTGTCGGCATCTGGCTCATAAAAGATCTAATAATTTTGGCGGTTCGATGCTTAATTAGTAGATCCGACGACCGATTGGTTAAAAGCTGAGGATGGAAACTGAATAGTTCTAAAATCTGCCTCAGATTTACTAGACACTCTCAATGAACTCATGTCTTGAGTTTGTGAAGCAGTAGAACGCTGGTGACTTATGGGCGTGATGTGGTAATGGAGCGCTCGGAGGCGTTCATCATCTATGAAATCGTGCTCGCGAGACATTACCAGGAAGGCCTAAGCCGGTCAACAATGGATGAGACTGCCGATATGACTTCTCAGCCAGACTGTAGATGTAACAGGGTCACACGTACCCTGGAAACAGAGGTGTTTGTCACACGAGATGTGTATGGTATGACCACACCCAAACAAGAATACGGTACGGGGCTAGATAGCCAGTAGTTATGCATGTATTTA